ATGGGAGTTACATGCAGCCGCCGTCATAAAGGGAGAGTAACTTTCTTAAGTTTACCGGGGCGCAGGTTGATTGGTTCCATCCCTCCCCAAATAGGCAACCTCTCCTTTCTACGGGCAATCAACCTTGTCGACAACAGCTTCTACGGCGAGATTCCTCAAGAAATTGGCCGTTTATTCCGGCTAAGAATTCTCAATCTAGGCGGTAATTCTTTCCGAGGGGAAATTACAAGCAACATATCCTTCTGCTCAAGTGTTGAAGTCCTCAACGTCACCATCAATGGTCTTGTAGGCAGAATCCCAGAGGGGCTTGAAAATTTGACAAGGAAGAAGCTAAATACTCTCCTTCTTGGTTTAAATAACCTCACTGGAACCATTCCAAAATGGTTGGGAAATGCTTCTTCACTTGTTCAGCTGCACTTAGGACAAAACAACTTACATGGAAGCATCCCCTATGAGCTTGGAAGACTCTCAACTCTATCATCCTTTGTTGTTGGTCAAAACAATTTATCTGGTATCGTTCCTCCTGCTATTTACAATCTTTCCTCACTCATTATTCTTAGTGCAGAAGGAAACCAATTGCGAGGACAAATCCCCAGTGATATCGGGTTGACTCTTCCCAAACTTCGGGGCATTTTTTTTGGAATTAACCAGTTAACTGGGCGGCTTCCGGTTTCATTATTGAATGCTTCACAACTGAAATTCATTGGATTTGAAGCCAACAATTTCAGTGGACCTGTGCCTCGGAATATAGGAGGATTGAGTGCTCTAGAGAGGTTGACTCTTGGTAAAAACCAATTAGAAATTGTGGAAGGAGACGACTTCAGTTTCTTAACTTCTTTGACTAATTGCAGCAACCTTTCCATACTGGATATAGGTGGAAATCGTTTGAAAGGTCAATTGCCTCCTTCAATTGCTAATTTCTCAAGCAAGCTTGAAATGCTGTCTTTATCGGGCAATCAGATTTCAGGTACAGTATCAGAAGGCATTGGCAACATGATCGGCCTAACTTTTTTGGATTTTAGTAATAACTTTCTCACAGGTGAAATTCCAACTAGCATGGGCAAATTGGAAAGGTTACAGGACCTTCGATTATTTCAAAACCGACTTTCAGGTACAATTCCCTCCTCATTTGGGAACCTTACCCAATTGCTTTACTTACCTCTAGGAGAAAATAATTTAAAAGGTGAAATACCTCCTAGTTTGGGAAATTGTAGAAATCTTGAAGGAGTCTACCTATCTCAGAACAAGATTTCTGGTGTCATACCAAAAGAACTTTTTAGTTCCAGGAGCTTATACTTAATATTATTAGCGGGAAACCTTTTATCTGGGTCATTGCCTCTAGAGTTGGGAAATTTGATCAATCTAAGGTACTTGGACATTTCCGATAACAGATTGTCCGGAGAAATTCCAAATACTTTGGGAACTTGTCTTATGATAGGAAAACTTTATATGCAAGATAACTTATTTGTAGGTAGCATCCCATCCTCCTTCAGTGCTTTGAAAAGTCTTGAGTACCTTGACCTTTCAAGAAACAGTTTGTCTGGACGAATTCCAAAGTACCTCCAGAATCTCACCATGCTGCAGAGTTTGAATTTATCTTTTAACAGATTTGAAGGAGAGGTTCCATATGAAGGGGTCTTTAGAAATGCAAGTGCAGTTTCAGTTGCTGGAAACCAAAACCTTTGTGGAGGCATTGAGAAATTCAAACTCCCTCCATGTAAGGTCCAAGGCCTGAAGAAGAAACAAAGGTCTCGCAATCTTAAACTGGTGATTCCAATTGTTTCATGTTCAATATTATTAGTAGCATTGCTGGTTTATTTTACTTGGGCAAAGAGGTCTAATAGGAAAGCCACTACCATGTTGCAAACACAAGAATTATTTCCAAAGATTTCTTATGCAGAGTTAAGTCAAGCAACTAATGGCTTCTCATCATCTAACTTGATTGGTGAAGGAAGTTTTGGCACTGTTTATAAGGGAATCACCCATGGAATGCAAATTGCAGTGAAAGTGCTGAACCTTAAACAAAAAGGAGCTTTCAAGAGTTTTTTGGCTGAGTGTGAGGCATTGAGAAACATCCGTCATCGAAATTTAATTAAAGTCTTGACTGTCTGTTCCAGCATAGACTTTAAAGGGGTTGATTTCAAGGCTATAGTTTATGAGTTCATGCAAAATGGAAGCTTAGAAGAGTGGCTGCATTCACATGAAGTTCAAGTTGGAGTTCAACATTTCAGCTTCATCCAGAGGCTAGAGATAGCAATTGAAGTTGCACATGCAATTGAGTATCTGCATTACCATTGCCAACCAGCAATTGTTCATGGTGATCTCAAGCCAAGTAATATTCTTCTTGATCATGAAATGGTTGCTCACGTGGGTGATTTTGGACTTTCAAGATTTCTAATTCCCAACATGCAAACAAGCTCAATTGGAATTAAAGGAACAATTGGCTATGTTGCCCCAGGTAATATTTTTCAACTATCTTTCTATATATTTTAGTATTTTATATATTAGGTTCACTCTTGAATTTTTGTAGTAAAAGTTGTAATTTAGCATTTTATAAGTAATGATTAACATGATGAATTGATGCCATCTCCTATTTCTTTCGTCTCATAACTATTCCATTCAGAATATGGTATGGGTGGAAGGGTATCTGTGGCGGGAGACGTGTTCAGCTTTGGAATTCTCTTGTTGGAGATGATTACAAGGAAGAGACCAACCGATGAAATATTCAAAGATGGCATGAACCTCCACCAATTTGCCAAACTGGCATTGCCAGAACGTGTGATGGATATTGTCGATCCTTCATTGCTGCAGGAACTTCAAAGTATAGATGAAAATGTTGGGGATGCCCGAAGAAGAAGAAGAGAAAGGAGAATAAGTATCAAGGAGATCCTCATTACCTTTGCAAGAATAGCAGTTCTCTGCTCAATGGATTCTCCAAATGATCGAATGGAGATGAAAGATGTGGTTGCACAATTATATGATATTAAAAAGAAGTTTCCTGGTAATCATTGATTCTGATAAAGGAATCAATGCAAGCTCTCCTCTTCGGGGAAACTTCATTTACCTCAGTCTTTTATTATCCTTTCTGTTGTGTTTGGTGTTGTTTTGTCTACTTCCATTTTTTGTTGTGGCATCGTAGATTAGGACATGTCTCCAGTCCAAGCCAGAGATATTTCCTACTAGAATGTTGGGGTCTATACCTAACATTGAGATTTCTCCTTGTATGGGTTGCAAGCTGGGCCCAGATGATAATGAATGCAAAGCAGAAGATTTCTCTCAACTGTTTGTTCTTTTCCCTTATAATATTTGCAGTTTGTCCTATCATATGCTCTGCCATATCTAGCCAACTCTTTGCCATTTTCTTCACTTAGCATTTCTACGAAAAGTTGCTGTTTTTTAAAATTAATTCAACAAAAGATGTACTCAAGCATAAACTCTAAAAATTTCAATCTGGAGCTCAACACAGTAAGGTCAATTGGGTTGAGAAGCGAGCAAGTATCATCCAGCTCATAGTTTTGTTAGATTTGGCAATGGACAGTTTTAGTGGTCTTGAAAGCTGCAGCCTTTTGTGATGATCATGGGGAATTGGTGATATGGGTTGTAAAAGAATACAATGTGAAGGAGTCATGGATCAAGGAATTCATCACTGCTGAGTCAAAGAGTGTCACCAGTGGGGATCGAAGTTGCAACTTCAAGGAGTTTAATTCAACCATTTGCCTGCCACTTTGTTTGGATTGAGGAAATTAAAAAAGAAAGAGAGAAGAGTGAGAGAGAGAAAGTAGTTTTTTTTATTTGGATATATTATTTTAATAGAAAGGGAGGGAAATAGAAGGAGATATCCTTTTCTCTATTTTATTTTCAATCTTTTTGATTTGAAAAGATTAGAACGGATTACATAATTTAATTTATTTTTATTTTTATTTTTTTAAAAAATAAATAAATATAAATATTTTATTTCAATTATTTATTTAATTAATAAATTTTTTATTTTTTATTTTATTTTTTATTAAATTAAATAAAAATATTATCATTTCCCCCTCACTTTTCTTATCCAAACAAAACTAATATCAATATTTTCCTTTCCTTTCTTTTACTGATTTTTATCCAAACATAACTGAAACTTACAAATGGTTTAATGGCATCAAAGAGAGTCAGACTTCCAATTCCAACCTTTTAGCCATGTATAATAGAATTAATACCACCAGATAAGAAATAATTTCCTTGACTGTTTGAGCTTTAAAATGTATTTATTCTATGTAAAGTCCAACTAATGTAACAATATGATTTCAAGGACTCGAACTAACGACCTCAAAAGTCAAAACATACGCTTCTACCACTCAAACCACCTTACTGGGTTGTAAGACGGTGTGCGTAGGAATATACTTAAATCAAATGCTAGTTTTACTGGCTACCTTCCGCGAATCGAAGGTCAAAACAATTTAATCTCCAATTTGATTTTAAAAACACTATTTACATGCCTTATTTCATTGTTAATTAATGAATATAACTATCATGTCAAACACATATTAGTTCATTATAAACATAAAAAATAATTGATATATTTTCTAGTTTAATACATTTATTAATACATATCGATTCAACTATTAAAACTTACAATTGAAAATTTTCTCATTTTGAATTCAAATTTGAAATTAATAATTCTTTATTAAATATATTGTAGAGTGTATTGAATTGAAAGATATAGTAATCATTGTCTATAAACATATATTTAACTTTTATATCAATTGAAATTTTTTGAAATAAACATCAAAAAACAATTCATTAAATCTTCATTAATTTCTTTTATTTTTGCATCTATAACTATTACTATTATTCGATCTCAAGGTGCATTTGTGCACTTTCTCTGTCCTAGATTTAGTTAGGTGTATATTAATTATATTTTTTTATTAAGAATTAAAATTATTCTTTTATAATTACTAATTTTAAATCTAGTAGTTTATAATAAAAAGTTTGAATGGTAAGTATAAAAGAAGATTTAAGCATACAAATTTAATTTTTTTAATTAGTATTTTATTAAAAAACAACCATTGTTTAATATTTAGAATGTGAATAAGGATATTCTCATGATATTTGATCCTGTTTTAGTAAATTATTATAATTTTTTTTTTTTTGTCTTCCAATGCATTATGGCTATTTCTTTCTATATATCTTTTTATTTAATACTTCCCATTCTCTAGTTCTTTATTAAAATATTAAACTAATAAAAAGAGCATAAAAAAGACTTACATTGATATCAATATTGATTGCACCAAGAAAACTATTTAACTTACCTCTTCCTAGAACAATTGCGTTCCTTATATAATGAAAACACAATACAATTCTAGGATAAGATTGTCCTTAATTTGATCAACTTATTGTTGGTTGGAGGAATTATGGTCCATTATAAGCTAATAAACAAAATAAAGGGAAATAAGGAATTGTTCAAAGTAATGAAAGAGCTGAGATTATTAAAGCAAATAAGAACCGATGGAATAGGAAGGGCATATAAAGGGTATACTTTTTTCTTTTGTACATTTAATGATGTGTTATATAGAAAAGAATAACTCTTTATTTTTCCTAAATTCCATCCTATCTGATTCAAAATTTGAATTTGAGACATGTAACTTAAAATTTTAGGTTCTATATATATAAATAGGTAGTGTAGCATAGGAACATTCAATTCTTTATGAATAAGATATCAAATCCTAGTTAACATTGAATTATGTCAGTTAATGAAAAAATATTTTTGATATAATCAGACTTCTTAGTTCCCTATTAAGATTAAATTGTATGGGGTGAGCATTTTCAAGTATAATTATAAGTTATATATGAGTTATATTTAGTACTTAACTTGAAAATTTTTATGTACAATTTTTTAAACTTGATACTTACTCACATACTCAAAAACTTATATTTAGTAGTTAACCTAATAGTTAGCAAGTAAGTTATAGATATAGTTATATATTTGTTAAATAATATTTTGCTATCAATTCTATATATGCAAATTAAAATACACCACTACATCTTAATTTATCAAAAGAAGTTCAATAAGCCACTACATCTTGTTATTAGTTGAACAGTTTCTTTGTCCCTTTCGTAGATCCGGCTTGCTACATCAAACAATCATCTCATCAGCCGGTTCGATTTCAAGAGGGTTAACAGCCGACATCAACAGTGCCTTCTTCTTCAACTTCCTCATCTCCTTGCCTTTACCCCACAGAACGAGAAATAATCCCAAC